AGGAGTAATCATTTACAAAATTATAAGTTTGTCCAATTATACCCTTATTAAATACCACATATATGTGCTTTTTAATATTGATATAATTAAAATTTTAACACATCATTTTTAATAAAAAGCAATAAATAAAGTGAAGATGTAGTTAAAATACTCTTTCAGTCCTTTTTGTATGACAGAGAGATAATATTTATTTTGATTCTATTTATAAGACACATCTATGATTAGTACATTCATCTTTATTATCTTGCCCTTATTAAATATTGTAAAATTTATTAAATGTTAGGGTATTTTATTTGTAAAATATGTATATTTAATAAGGATAAAACTAAAATATTATTGAATTTTTAGATAAAATTAATATAGTTTAAGATTTTTCATAATTTTGATAAAATGTGTTAGAATTGACTTATATATAGGACTAGAAAAAGTAACTAATTGATTATAAAAACTACCTGATACCCTATATTCCCTCCAATCTAAAATGTAAATAGTCTCATATTAATAAAGTCTTAATTCTCATAAAAATATATATTATTTTCTCTTTTTACCTCTAGTCTCAATTACCAATGCATTCTATGATGAATGAGAAATACATTTACACGAATATCTAGATTAATAAATATAATAAAAAAATGAAAAAAATTATTTATATATACTAGGCTGCTTATATTTTAAATTAAAAGTAGTTCAGGAAAAATATTTATATTTTGCATCGAAGGGAGTATTTTAGACTAGGCTTCTAGAAAATGTCCCATGTTATATGGTCTCCATAGATAGTAGTACTACCTTTGATTATATTTATAAGTCACTCATATTTTATCAAAATTGAGAAAAAATTTAAATTTTATTAACTCTGTATTAAAATTTACTCCTTCAGTCTTTTATGTATAAAGTGTTTTTAATTAAATCTTGTATACCAACAAAAGTTTGTTATTTAGTTGATAACACATAAAATTACAATAATTTTTTAGTTTTTTCTAATAATATTGCAATTAATATTATGATGATGGGTAAAATACACAATCAATGTCTCTTTCATTTTCAAGACAATAAGGGTAAAATTATCTAATTACTCAAAATTATTAAGACATCCCTTATATTCAAAGACAAAACAAGTTAAATTAAATATTCTACATATAGAGACTGATGGAGTAACAAATTTTAACCTCTACCTCAATAAGAACAAAAATAATTATTTTTAATAATTTTTATATAATTTAATAAAGGAAAAAACTAAAAATAAATATAAAAATAATAAAGTGTCTAATAAATAAGATAAAAATTAATCTTTTCCCTTTGAAATAGAAGTAGAAGAGTATATAATTAATTTGAAAAATTCACAAAGCTGAAAAAAGGGCATAAATTTATTCAAAAAATAATAATAATAATAAAATATCTTCAAATTATATAAATAATAATTTAGTCCCTTAAAATATTATAATTTTATTGAAATCCTTAAAAACCTCTTTGTCAATAAATTTTAAATTGAGACGACCATTTTACCCTTAATGACAAGTTGTAATTTCTTATGCAATTCTTACAATTCTTTGAAGAAAAGTTGTAATTCTTTAAACAAAAATTGTTAATGAGGTTTGTTATTTTGAGAATTTGTTTTACAATAATAGAAATTACACTTAATAAATTATAATTTCTTATTTAATTCTTATAATTTACAAAATAAAAATTGTTATTCCTTAAGTAAAAGTTGTAAATGAGGCTTCTTTTTCAATAGTAGAAATTACACTTGATAAATTATAATTTTTTATTCAACTCTTGTGATTTATAAAATAAAAATTATAATTGGAGCTTGTTATTTTCAGTAATGGTAACATGATTTTTTTTTACTTTAAAATTTATTGACACAGATGTCTCTAAGAACTTCATTAAAATATTAAAAAGAAAAAATGATAATAAAATCCCTCTGAAATGTATAAATGATAATTTAGTTTCTTGAAATGCCATAATTTCTCTAAAGTCCTTAGAGACTTTTCTATCATCAATAAATTTATATAAATTACTAAATTACTCTTGTTAAAAATAAATGATTAACAAGTTTTGTTTTAATATTCACAACTTTTTTTTATATTCACAATAATGTAACAATAAATGAGAAATTAACATGCAAAGTTGTAATTTGCTATTGCATTGTTGTGAATATAAGAAGAAAAGTTGTGAATATTTAAATAAAATTTGTGAATCATTTATTTTTAATAAGAATAATTTGATAATTTATATAAGTTCATTAATGACAGAAAAGTCTGTAAGGACTTTAAGGAAATTATTACATTTTGAGAAACCAAATTATCATCTATACATTTCAGAGACATTTTATTTTTATTTTTCCTTTTTAATATTTTAAGGTATAATCATTGTATTTTTTTTTCAAAAGCGTCCCTATTAAATATTCACTTTATATTTATTTTAGAGTAAAATATTTTATTATATAGAGATAAATATAAAAAGATAGTATTAATTTAAAGACAAGTAATTATTTTATTAAGGGCTGAAATTTAATTAAAAATGTATTAATTTTTTGATAGAGGGTACATTTTACTTTATGTGAGAGGAGAATAATGTGCGGCAATTCCTTTTTATTTTGGCAGCAATGTGTGGCTAGGTTGATGAAAAATATATTCTAATTCGTCCTTTGGATTTTCATGGGGGAACTATTCTTCGGCCTTAAAGTATATTGATGGGCCAATAATGACCCTCTAATCAGTCTCACTTTCTTTCAAAAACACATTACTATTAGACCCATCTAAATATTATTGTACATATGTGGTCCCTTGATGTGAGAAACTCAACACGGAATGGATTCTATTCCTTTGCAACAACGACATATTCTTTTATTGAAAGTGACCTCCATTACATATCATTTTTTTACAGCAGTACTCTTATTTTTGTGTTTTTTTATGTTATTTTTATCAAAAATATATATTAAGGGATTGCTTGGGTGGTGGAGATCGAACCCAATAATTGAAGAAAAATTAATTGACGGATTGTTTGGGACTAAAATTAGTATTACGGATGGGTTGAAAGTTGAAACCCATCAATTGGTGATCATTTATTCAGATCCGTTCCATCATTCATTAAATATAATCAAAATTAACAGATAAAAGCACTAATAAAAAAAAAGAGTTCGTAAAAAGTCTTAGATATTTTTAAAACATATGTGCATACTTGTTGATTCATCACTAATCAGTAGGTCTTATACAAGCAATTTAAATATATAAAAATTTTATAAAGTTATAAATTTACACTGAAGTACCTTATAAGTTTTTTAATAATGAAGAATTATTAATTAATAATTGAAAACTTCAATAAAAGACAGTACGAGATTTCAAAATAGTTTTATAATTATAATTTTGCAAGATTTTTTTTAAATATTTAGAATTAGATTAGATTAGTCAAGTGAGACGTGAGACTTTTTCCATATATAACGCAATATTTAATGACACCGATACAAGAGGTCGTTCCCGGGGTTATTTTTTTTTGGTTACTATAAAGAGTAGCTTCGCTAACAAAAGATAATATTTTTCTCGAGACACTAAAAACAATGAATGGATCTCTCTATATTGAATTGCTACAATATACTCCCTCGGTAGGGATTGGGACATGGACCCTCAACAACTTGGTTTAGTGAAAAAGAATATGATAAATTAATTAATATTCTCTTTATTTTTATATATAAAAAATTTTACATCACATAGTTTAAAAAAATTATTTAATTATAATAATTATATTTAAAAATAAAAAAAATTAAAAAAATTATTTAATTATAATAATTATATTTAAAAATAAAAAAAATAGACTAAAATATTTTATATTCTCTTAGTTAAAAAATGTAAGACATTTTTTGAGAAATTGAATATTTAAAAATGTAAGGCATTTTTAGTCTTTTGAAGTATAGTCATTGTCTTTTTTTTAAAGTATCCCTATTAATAATGACTTTATATTATTGTAGGGTGTTTAATAGAGGTAAATATAAAAATATAGGGTTAGTTGAAAAGTAGGTAACTACTTTATTAGAAGGTGAGATTCAGTAAAAAATACCTTATATTCTTAAATGGATGGAGTATTAATTAACATAATATGCATTAATAATTTATTATTAATATAAATTATGGGGAATAATTTAAAAATTAATAATAAATATTTATTAAAATATATGATTTTATTTATAAAAATGTCTAAGTACAATTTCTCTAATAAAACCATGGCGGTATAACTTTTGTTTTGGTGCAGAGAATTTTGTCTCCCCCAAATCGCCATTATTGCAAGAACAGCGAGAGAGGAAAGCAACTTTACGGAATTTCAACGTGCAGCTACAGCAACAATAATGTCCGGGTCAAAAGGTAGAATTTTTATCGCCCACGCTTTATGCATAATTAAAATAAGTTATATTCTCGTTACTTATGAATAATATACTTTTTGTTATTTTACATAGAAGTAGTTTATAAAATAATATAAGCATTATCGCTTTGGAAAGATATATGTACGGTAAAGTAAAATAAGAATCCTGTTCATAAGTGTTGATGTGAATTTATAAATAGGACTCCCTCGTAATTTATAAGGGAAAGATTTAGATTCCAAAAATATAAAAGATTTTGACAAAAAATAAAGTTTTATTGATGATATTATTCAGTTTATCCTTTCATTATATTCTATTAATTTTTAATATTTTTTAATAAATGAAGCATGTTTTTAAAAGTTTATATTTTTGTTTAAAAAATAAAATTATAAAATACATATAATAAACTTTATTGATATATATAATTTTTTCTCAAAATTACATGAAATATAAAATACATGTAGGAGGGAAAGTGGTGTATAAGAAAGAAAACTGATGAATAATTTGGAAATTGCGAGTGAATCATATTAAACGGGGTGACTAAAATAAATGCATGAGATTGAAATTGAATGATTCGGTCGGCGGTCATGAAATTTCTCTATATAAGGAACCCCAAGGTAAAGTTAGTCTCTGCACTACTAGTCACACCTCTCTCTCTCTCTCTCTCACACACACGCACTTGTTCTTCTTCTTCTTCTTCTTTCTTCTTCTTCTGGTGTTGTTGTGACAGTATCGATTAAGGTCATCATAAAAGCTGGTTGAGAGGCATGGCGAAGAGAAGAGCAGCAGAAGTAGAGAGTGGTGGTGGTGAAGTGGACGACATGAAATGGGTTTATGATTCCTCCGTTGATTACAAAGGAAGAATTCCTTCACGACCTTCCACTGGCTCTTGGAAAGCTTCCTTCTTCATTATCGGTTTGTTCCTTTTCATTTCTTCATCATCCATCTGCTTTCTTCATGCTTCTTCTCTTCCCTTTCCCTTCCTTCAAAAGCGATTAAAATATTAGTTGAAGCTTGAAAGGTATATATAGTCAAAGTTACGATGTAGTCCATCCAGTGATATGCTTTCTTCGATTCCTTTAATTTCCCCAAGCTTCTTCTCTTCTCTTAAAAGTTAAAACCCACTTCCACCAGGACTGTTCTGATTTTCTCTAAGTTGTCTTGGTTTTGACGCCTTCAATTAATATATACTCCCCCCACTTTAATTCACAAGGCACTTGCACATAAAATTACGTATATACCAATAGAATTTATTAAATAATTTTATAATTTTAAGAGAAGAATATAAAATTTTAAAATACTCTTTATTTAATATTTTATTTATAAAAAAATATTAAAGTGAGATAATAGAATAGGAGGATAATATTAAAAAGCATCATTGAAGCTTTATTCTTATCAAAATATATTATATATTTATATTTTAGAAAGCTTGATCTATCTAAAATGTGTTATAATTTATTATGAAGATAGTATTATACTCCTCTAGTCTTATTTATAAGGCAAATAAAGAAGAAAAAATTTGATCTTATTTATAAAACACTTATCAGTTTTCAATGTTTATCTTTACATTTTTACTCCTTTTAAATACTTTAAATAAAAATATCACTAATGAGATTTAATAGCATTTATTAGGATTAAAGGTAAAAATTTATTAAATTTTAAATAAAGTTAATAAAGTTTAAGATTTCACTTGATAATTTCGGTAAACATATTAAAAGTGACTTATAAATATGATTACATAAAATATAATATATTAATTCAAGTTGGTCAAGTTGGTTATTTTTTGGACAATAGCCATTTATGGCAGTTTCCGAACTAAACCCATTAGCTATTCAAAATGAATGCCCTTCTTAAAATAAGGATTTGCAAGTGTTGCTTGTTGAATACGAATGAATATTGTTGGCATAAACTTTATTTTGGAGTTTGTCCTCTGTGGCCACGTGATGAAAACATCCATTTGATATTTCCTTTTTTTATTATTTTATTTATTTTAAATTATAAAATATTTTTAAATAAAATCTCATATATTAATTAATATTTTTTAATAATAAAAATATAAATTTTTAAAAATATGCTTCATTTAATAACTTTAAATCTACACTTAATTATTAAATATAGAGAGAAAAGATTGGGATATATAGATAGATTACTATATATAAAGTATTTCAGTATATCATTGTTCGTAAGTAAAAGTGTAATAAAGTATATATCAAGCTATTTTATTGTTCTTGATAAGATGACATTAGAATAAACTCATTATAATTTTTGAAAAATATTTTCAGGGCTTTTTAACTTTTAATGTCTTGTATCAATATATCATAAACTTCAAAGTTAGAAACTTTATAAATATCTTATAGTTTTTTTTACAAGATCCAATGTCTTAATATAAAGTTTCATTTCCTTTTGTCTCTTTATCAATATTTTCTTTCATATAATATCCCTGTTTATTGGGAATTTTTTTCAGTACACGTTAAATCTTAACCACTAAATGGTGTATTCCCTTTCGTCCCTATAGGCTATATTATAAGGCATACACCTTCCAAAAAAATTCTTTTAATCTTTAACATAAGACAATTAAAAATTATTGATTATTATTTATTATTTTTTATATTGTAAATTTAATTTTATGCCCATCATATATTGTATATCTCTCCTTATTTTCAATGGGGGCAAAGTTAGTTAGAATTTTTTCTATTCTAAGTGTCTTATAATAAGAATTAGGGAAGATGTGGGTAATTTTGGAAAAGTATGGTAAATTCTTTATATATTAATTACAACCAATCAATTTACTAATTTTTTAGTTCTACGAATTAGTTAAAACGATATTATATATTTAGGACTGGCAACTTATTGAGTGGAATTGAAACTGTCTTTGACATTAGACTTTTTGACTTGATTTCTTCTATTTAAAAAATAAAATTAATAAATATTGAATTCCTTACCACTCAATTAAAATCGTCGTTGATAGTAAAGAGTTTTAACCATGACAAAAACACATCAGCCGCACGTACCTCGAGTGCCAAACCGAGAGTATTACTGTTGATGTTCCCTTTTAAGATTTCATCTTGTCATGTTATAAGTGCTTAGAACTTTGGCATTTGAAGTATTTATTAAAGTGATGAACTTTTAATTTTGTCCACTTGGTTTTACGCATGTCACTTAATGCAAAGTTGACCCCAGCGCTTTACAAATTGATCTTATCTCCGGCTTATTATTGAATTAATCAATTTTTTTTTAAAAGGCAAGGTAATACTATATATATATATATATATATTTATATAATATTTTATATTTTTATTTCCACTGCCTCATAATAATAACGAAATAATTATTATTGAATGTTTAGTTCAACTGATAATCAGACAGCACGAGTTCAATTCAAGCTTTGAAAATGCAGTAACATTAATGGGATAGATTCCTCTACAAGATAGTTCCATCTCGATCTATATTAGTTTGGATCTCATTAGAATCTCCTTAACTCTTATTTTGGGTGCTTTACACAAAAATATATATATTTATATATATAAAATAAGAAATAATTATGACCGCTTGGAAAAAAAAAAAAAAAAGGACTCGCTGACTTGTGGAGGCGACACGTGGAGAGGCCTCAAAACATTTATATGACGCTGGCACTAGAATCCGCTCTATACCTGGCAGGGTCTAGTCGACTTCGAGAACTACGAACTATTAATGCAATGATGCTTCATTTGTCAAAGAATCATACTAATTGGAGCAGTTCGCTGAGGTTTTCGACTATTCATGATCCTCTTGCACTAATACTGATACGTATACGTAACTCTCTGGTGTAGACTGTAGAGACAAGAATTTCTCAAGGGAATGGTTCGAATTGTTTGTTCTGTTCTGGTTCCGCACTCAGCTCAGTACTAGCGCTTGATTCAATATTCAAGAGTATCTTAATACAAAATTTAAAATAAATCACATCAATTATTCGTAAATCAACAACACCACGCCACTCGCTTGAATTAATACTCCCAGTGTTATGTTGCAGCGATTGAGTTCAGCGAGAGGCTGAGTTACTTTGGAATAGCGACGAGCCTGGTGATATATCTGACCAAGGTCATGCACGAGGACCTCAAGACAGCAGCCAAGAATGTCAACTATTGGACAGGTGTCACCACCTTGATGCCCCTCTTCGGCGGCTTCTTGGCCGACGCTTACTTGGGCCGTTACTTCACCGTCTTCGCTTCTTGCATCGTTTATCTCTTGGTACACTTCTTATTCATATCAGCCTCACTTATATATGTAAATGCATATAATCTACGTGCCCTCCTCAAAGTTTCTCTCTCTGAAAAAACAGGGTCTGGTTCTTCTTTCTATGTCGTGGTTCCTGCCTGGTTTAAAGCCTTGTGATGCTGCCGTGTGCACTAAACCTAGAAGGGTTCATGAGGTGGTGTTCTTCCTTGCCATATACTTGATATCAGTGGGGACGGGAGGGCACAAGCCTTCCCTGGAGAGCTTCGGAGCCGACCAATTCGACGACGAACATGCCGGGGAGAGGCGGCAGAAGATGTCCTTCTTCAACTGGTGGAACTGTGGCCTATGCAGTGGACTCAGTCTTGGTGTGACATTGATTGTTTACGTGCAAGACCATGTGAACTGGGGAGCTGCTGATCTTGTCCTTTCAGGGGTCATGGCTTTGTCGCTAGCCATTTTCTTAATGGGAAGGCCTTTTTATAGGTATAGGGCACCCACTGGAAGCCCTTTCACCCCAATGCTGCAGGTCCTTGTTGCTGCCATCTCCAAAAGAAAGCTTCCCTATCCTTCCGATCCTTCTCACTTCTATGAGGTCTCCAACTCTCAGGCCAACGATGCTAGACTTCTCTGCCAGACAGAGAAACTCAAGTGAGTGATGCTTTCAATTCAAACCATTCTATTATTATGTTATTGAAAACAAAGTCAATCCTACATTTTAAACTAGTCCCTTTCTAATTCAATTAAATGTCTTGTTCCTCATCAATTTGATCATAATTCGACAATGATTTTAACATTTAATGATTGAACTAGTGCCTTACGTTGATTCAATAATCAATTCCATAGCCAATCTGATTTTTAATACATTATAAATTATAACCTCAAAATTATACTTTTTCATGGGCTGAGAGTGGCCTCAATTGATAGCCCAACTTCCCTATTAGACCAAAAGACTCAAGTAACCAATGCTTTTAATTCAAATTATTATGGTATTAAAAAACTGGATCAATTTAGCCGGTTAAACCATTAAAATGGTAAGCTGGAATCAAGCAGTTTGACTAAGGTTTGATTATTAACCCATGAACCTTGATCCATTGCAGTACATTATAAATTATACTTTAAACCAAAAATTTTACTTTGTCATGAGCTGAGCTGTCTTTTTTTTCTTTTTTCTTTTCTTTTTTTTTTTGGTACATAAGAGGGCAGAGCCTGACAGAAAATTAAATTAGTGGGGGGGTTGAGATCCCAAACACTCTGAATTCACAAGGCTCTTAAAATTGTTATGAACCGTATCAAGAAAATTAGCTAAAGATGAGCTGAGCTGTCTTAGTTGATAGGCCAATAGGTAGTTCAGCTAATTGGGACTACCATTGGGTTGGCCCATGTCAAGTCCAATGGGCCTGCCTCAATTTGTTCACTCCTAATAATACCAGAGCTCACAATGATTTTGACTTTTCACCCAAGGACAAAACAAAAAAAAGAAGATTCAATCCAAAATGTCCACGTTACATTTAGACTCATGAATTTGTAAATGGTGTTTCAGATTTCTGGACAAGGCAGCGATTCTGGAAAACAACAATGGAAGCTCATTAGAAAAGCACAGTCCATGGAGACTAGCAACAGTGACGCAAGTGGAAGAAATGAAGCTGATCATCAACATGATCCCCATCTGGATATTCACATTACCATTCGGAATGTGCGTCGCTCAAACCTCCACATTCTTCATCAAGCAAGGAACCACCTTAAACCGAAACATCGTAATCAACAACACCAACTTCCAGATCCCCTCAGCCTCAATCTACACGCTCTCCGCCATTGGAATGATAATCGCCGTCGCCATCTACGACAGAATCCTCGTACCCTTCTTCAGGAAACTCACGGGAAACGAAAGAGGAATCACCATCCTTCAGAGAATCGGCTTCGGAATGGTGTTTTCTGTGAGCACGATGATAATAGCAGCATTTGTGGAACGCAGAAGACTCGAAGTTGTTCGCAGGAATCCGTTGGAAGGTTCGCTTTCCATGAGCTTCTTCTGGTTGGCTCCTCAGTTTCTGGTCATGGGTTTCGGAGATGGGTTCACACTTGTGGGGTTACAAGAGTACTTCTACGATCAAGTGCCTGATTCCATGAGGAGTCTGGGGATTGCATTGTACCTCAGTGTGATCGGGGCGGCGAATTTTCTGAGCAGTTGGGTGATAACTGTTGTGGACAATGTGACCGACAAGAGAGGAAAAAGTTGGTTCGGGAAGGATTTGAACAGTAGTAGATTGGACAAGTTTTATTGGCTTCTGGCGGCAATAACGACAGTGAATTTGTTTGTGTATGTATACTTTGCTCGTAGGTATTCGTACAAGAATGTTCAAAAGGCTGCCGTGACCGATGTCTATGAAGGTAAAAGTGACGATGGATCCCAAGGCACAATGGTTTAATTTCAACTTAGTTTATTAGACCGTGTAACATATCTATATATATAGAAAAAAGTGGTGTGTAATATAATACAATGTGAGAATTCGTCCTCTGATGCAAATTTCTCATATTCTAGCTATATGTCCTAGAATTTCTTAATTAACATGGGAAAGAGCTAGGCTGGCTTTATATTTTCGTTTATCATGCATAGGATAATTAAAGCTTATTGTAATCAATTAGGAAGTGTATTTTAATTAATTTATCAAGCGAATTGTTTTATTATTATAAATCTAGTTTTCTATTTGATAATCCTTCAAATTAAGTTGGCTCCATCATTACTTTAGCATTATTGGTCCTTGTACGTGAAGATGCTACAATATTTTTTGGCGTGCAAGTGTTGATTAATAGGACGAAAGGATAAAAATATCGAAGAAGTTATTATTAGAAGAATTTGATAGCCTAAAAGTGAAATTTAACGGTCAACGTTGTTGATTTTTAATAATTTGATTACAAATGTCTTGAAAAAATAATTTCATAAATACACATACATTTTTCATTCTTTTAGACTATTGAATGCTTTTAGCCTATTTAATAATGCACCAAAACTTCTTGGTTGACAAATTTTAAAAAGTAAAAGCTAAAGTATATTTTTTATCCTTTAATTTTATATTAGATTTTATTTTAATCTTTTAATTTTATAAAGTGTATTTTTAGTCCTTTAATCCTAATATCGTTAGTTTTAAATGATTTTTTTGTGTCAATCATTGTTATTTAAAAAAAATTAAACTTAATAAGTCATTTGAGAATGTTTTGTCAATATTTAAAGTTTAATGTAATTTTTTTTTTGGTGATAAAACTAATGGTATTAAAGTTAAAAGATTAAAAAAACACTTTTTTAAAACTAAGAGATCAAAATGAAATATTGTGTAAAGTTAAAAGACTAAAAGTATACTTTAGCCATAAGTAAAATAGAAATTTTGAACTATAGTTAAATCTTACTCCCTCCCATCCCGTTTATAGAGTATACAGAGAAGGTTTTATTGTCCTATTTATAAGTCACATTATTAAATTTTCATCACAAATTAATTTTTACCTTCTATTAATAAATGTTGGAGAGAGAAAATATATCGTTGAAGTATATATATATTTAATAGGGAGCAAGGTTGAAAACTTTTTAAATTTTTAGATGGAGTTAATGAGTTTTAAGATTTTTCTTGATTTTGGTTTTTCTTGAAAACTTCTTAATAGGAAGTGACTTATAAACATAAGCAAAGTAAAAAACAATGATCTGCAAAGGTGCAACTAGCAAAGGATTTGTAGCATCTTTAAAAAATCTTTATAAAGAGCTGAAGCCTGATATTATGGTGCTGTTTGAGCCAAGAGTTAGTGGATAACCACTAAGCATACTATTCATAGTTTTGGGTTAGATTTAGTGATTTGGTTTGAGCATAAGGGTTTGCTAGGGGTATATGGATTCTTTAGAATGTGGAGGGATTAGGATTATGTATCTTAAAGAAGCATGAGAAATTTATACACTACTACTTTGTCTCATTTGTCTCATCAAATGCTAAAAGATGGTTTTTTACAACTGTATATGCTAATCCATATGAAGATAGGAGACGTAGTCTTTGGTAGGAATTGAAGGAATTGGAAGAAAACTTGAGGGAGCCTTGGTTGCTTGCAGGTGATTTTAATGTTATTGCTGCTCCTAATGAACAATGTGGTGATGCTATAATTAATATTAGAAGCTATAATCTCTTTTGTAACTGGATGAATGACTGTAATCTAATTGATATTGAAGTAAAGGGGCCTTTTTTTGCTTGGAAAGGGCCTAAATCGAAAGGGTATGACAGAATCTATAAGAGATTGGATAAAGGTATGTGTAATGTGCAGTGGCAGAATTCATTTCTTGATGTTGTAACTAAGGTTGTTACCAAGCTTAATTCAAATCACCATTCTTTATGTATTGACATTAATCCGATGAGGTCTTGGAAGGGTAAGAGAACTTTTTGATTTGAAGCTGCTTGGTTATCTCATGACCGGTCCAAAGAGTTCTTAGCCAATAATTGGGGCTCTAGCATGGAGACTCCTGGAGCTCTTAATAGTTTAAGGAAAAACTTGTTAAGGTGGAATCGTGAGGTGTTTAGGGTTATGGATAAGAGAATTTATGAGTTGAAACAGTAACTTTATGAAATTCAAAGTATGTTTGATTGGCAAGATGATGTGGATTTGTTGATAAAGGAGGAAATGTTGCAAATAAAACTTAATGAGGCTCTTTGTCAAGAAGAGATTTTGTGGTTTTAGAAATCTAGAGGGACTTGGATTAAGCAAGGTGATAGAAACACTAGGTATTATCATACCAAAATTTTAATCAGAAGGAGGAGGAATAGGGTATGTATGCTAAAAAATGGTGATGGGACTTGGGTAAATGATGAGGTAGAAATCATCCATTTGATTCATGATTATTTCTAAAATTTATTTAAGGAGGAGGTGGTAAATAGAGGTTGGTGCATAACAAATAATTGTTGGGGATGATAAGGTCTTGAAAGAGTAGGAAGGCTATTATTGGATGAGAAAATTAGAATGGCTTTTTCTTCTATAGAGAATTAAAAGCACCTAGAGAAGATGGTTACCCTGCTATCTTTTATCAATAGAATTGGGAAGTGGTGGGGCCTAATGTCATTAAGTACATTAGAGATTTATGGGATGCTCCTGAAAGGTTAGTGGAGATTAATAAGACATGATTAGAAATGGTGCCTAAAGTTGATTAGCTTGAATTGGTGCCTCAATTTAGACTTAGTGTACTGTGTAATGTGTTATACAAAGGAGTGATGAAGATATTTGTGCATAGACTAAAAGGTGTCTTCAACAAGCTGGTTTTTTCCTATCGAGCGAGTTTCATTCATAGTCATTGCATTCAAGATAATATTGTTATTGCTATGGAATTAACTCACATGATGAATAGAATGAACAAGAAGAAAGGACTTATGGTTATTAAAGTAAACCTCGAGAAGGCATATGACCATATGAATTAGAATTTTCAAATTGAGGTTTTGCATGAGATTTGGATTCCACATCATATAGTTGAATTGATGAAGTTTTATATATGCATTGTGAGTATGTCTGTATTTTGGAATGGTGGCAAGTGAGAATGGTTCAATCCTTCTAGGGGGTGTTTGGCAAGGGGATCCTTTGTCTCCTTATTTGTTTGTATTAGGCATGGAAAAGCTTTTTCATATGATTTTGGAAACTGTTGAGAGTGGAAGTTAGAAACCATTGAGAGTTGGTAGAAAGGGAACTCTGATATCTCATTTAATGTTTATAGATGATCTTCTTTTATTATATGAGGCTGATATGAGACAGTTGATTAATGTGATGGACTGTTTAGACAAATTTAAGGAGTATTCTAGACAAAAGGTGAATAAGGGGAAAACAAGTATATATTTTTTCAGAAATATGGATAGAGTTAAAAGGAAGAAATTATGTGATGTATGTGGATTTCAAAGTAAGAAGGAATTAGGAAGGTACCTTAGTGCTTTTATCAAAAATGGCAAGGCTTATAGAAATAAATTTTTGTACTTAATTAATAAAGTACAGATCAAGCTGAGCGAATGGAAGAAGAAAAGTCTCTCATTAGCTAGGAGGCTTAATATTGTTCATCCAGTGTCTTCTCAGATAGCAATGTTCACTATGCAGCATACCCGAATTTCTATTGGGATGTGTAATAAGATTGAAAAGTTGTAGCATGAATTCATTTGGGGATCTACAGTGAAAAGGAGGAAGGTACATGTGATAAGTTGGGATTTATTGTGCAAACCTAAAGAGATTGGTGGGTATGGCATTTGGGACATGAAGCTGATGAATAAAGCTCAGGTAGGAAAAATTGGTTGGAATATGTTGGTTAAGCTAAAGAGTATTTACTCTCAAGTTTTACATGATAATTATGAATGTAATGGTAATTTATTTGTTGATTATTCAATTAAAAATATTAATTTTTATCTTTAGAATATTTTAGCTTCTGTTTGGCCTAAGATTCTTGATATATTAGTCTGGGATTATAGAGATGGTAGTAGCATTAATTTTTAAACTAATCTTTAGTTAAGAAATAATGTAAATTTGTTAGGATTATGTCATTCGAATCCTAATGGCAAATAACTTATATGTAAAGTGAAGGACATGGTGAATAAGCAAGAAGAATGGGAAACGCTTTATCTGAAAGATTATTTGAGAGATGAAGGGTTCTTAAGACTACAAGCAGTTCCCAAAACTGCTCCTATGTTTGGAAGGGATCGAATTAGATAGTGAGGTTCTTATGATAATGGCTATTGTGTCTGATATGTATTAGCATTTAAATGGGATTGATATGTCACATAAGGATAGGATATGGAAGAAAATATATAGTTAGAAAGGGCCAAGAAGGGTCTAAGGGTTTCTTTAGCTAGCTTTTTATGATAGGCTCTTTACATCAATTAGAAGAGCTAAGTTGATGGTCTATAAGGCTGTTTGTTATAGATGTGGTAGGGATGATGAGGATTTATTGTATGCTCTACGTGATTGTGATGTGGTATCAAAGCCATGGCTTGATTTATAGTGTACAAAAGTTGATAATGTTTTCTTTAGCTAAATCTTCATAATAGTTTAATTTTAATCTAAATACAGGTGTGGATTGGGGAGAAGATTTGCTATAACATGCTGGTGGTAATGGAATTGGAGGAATAAGATGATGTTTGAGGGGGGATATAGTAATGGAGGTGACTCAAATAGAATTATCAAAAGGTTTATTAGGAATTGACAAATCTAAAGGTAAGTTCGGTTTTACCATAGAAAAGGATGGTGAGCATTGATGTTAAATGGGAACCTCCAATATTAAGTAGTGTAAACTAAATTTTGATGGTGCTGCGACATGGGAGAGTTTGTTGGTTGAGTGTGGAGGTATTTTGAGGAATGAAAGTGGAGATTGGATTAGTGGGTTTGTGAAGAAATTAGGTGAGTGCTCAAGATTTAATGCAAAATTATGGGGTGCTCTGTGAGGTGTGAGATTGGCAAAGGAGATGGGTATTGAAAATTTGATTATTGAAGGGGATTCTCAAGGATAAGCATATTAAAATAGGCTTGGGAAGGCGATGCAAATGATAGCAGACTACTTGTTCAAATGGTTTTGAATGAATGTAATTGGTTTAAGAAGATTCAGTTTAGACATGTTTATAGGGAAGGTAATAAGTGTGAAGATTGGCTAGCTAACTATAATTTTTAATTTTGATTATGATATTGTTAGGCTTTCTTTGTTGCCATCTGAGCTAAAAAGTATTATGTACAGTGATTTCTTTGGAGTTTCTTACCTAAAGGAAATTTTGATTAATGAATAAGTATAGATGTTGCCCTCATTCACAAAAAAAAGAAAGAAAGAAAGAAAAGAAAACAATGAATACTTTGACCTCCTTGTCCTTGGTTTTTTCCCTTATGCCCTATTTGGTATGGGAAAATAATTTTGATGGAAATGAGAGTAGAAATGAAAGTGAAAGTGGAAATGAAAATGAAGGTAGAAGTTAAGTTTAGATGTATGTTTGGTTTGCAGATGAAAGTGGGCTAAAAATTTTATCTAAAAATTATATTTATATTCTGAAATGACCAATATGCCCATCAATTTTTTTTTTAAAAAAAGGTCTCCATCTTCTTCACAAGTCTCAATCATCATTTCACTAACATGAACTCCATTGAAAATTATGGAATGCCCAACAAATATGAATTTCTAGCAAACAACAAATCCAAAACAACAATCAACTTCAACATTCATACTTAGAGTCATTGAAGAACATGAACTAGATTTTAGAAAAATAAAATGAAAAACATGAGATATAAATTTGGAAGTTCATGAGAATTTGAACCGGGAATCAATGGGAAATACAAATCTGTATTTTCTTATACAGTTGTTTCTCATAGAAATTGCACTAAAATCCAAAAATATAGATTTATGAAAAAATTTCAAACCTCTCCTCCTCATCGTCCATGCCTCAAAGAGAAGAAGAATCAACAAACAGAAATCGAAGAGAAGATTCAACTAGAAATTGAAAGAGTCATTGTCGTCCATCATTATCAATTTCATAGGGTTTCATCCTCATCCATTTGTTCATAGTTGAAGAAAAGATTCAACCCAACATCATTGTGGGTTCCATGGGCTTTCTTCTTTATCCATCTGCTGTCAAAGAGAAGATTCAACCCATCATCATCATTTATCATGGGTTTCATCCTTGCCAAAGTCATCGCTGTCCATCACCACCATTGAAGTCACTGCCCTCTAGTTCACAATCCCTTCCATCATCCCCCAATGTTGATAACAAGGAGAGATAGGGATAAGCAAAATAGTCAAAGTTGGAGCTTCCATAGAAGTAGAACTAAGTTCCATAAGGTTGGGTGTGGAACTCAATTCCATCAATTTTGATGGAAGCCAGGTCCGTAGGAAAGCTAGTTCAATCGTACCAAACAACGGCAAAGCCATCCCCCCAAAACTCACTCATCCCTTCACAACACTAGGGAGGAGAAGAAAATTTGACTATTAAAGCCCATGAACAAGAGAGAAAAAGAGAGTCGCAAGAGTAAGGGAGGAAGAAGATGTAGATGATATGAAGGGAGAAAAAGGTGACCACATGAGATAGTGAGAGAGAATTGAGATTTGGAAAATAATTTTTTATTTTTATCTATTACTCTCTTTCTCTTTAAAATATCGAATCTCACCTCCAATAAATTAATTAATTATTTTTAAATTAATATTATTTTTATATATTTATTCTTATTTAATATGATGTTTTACTTAAATGTAAATATAAACTAACATAATGCATCAATTATGATAGAGAATATAATATAAATTTTAAAAAAATTATCTAAACAAGGATAAAATTAAAATTTTATTATATTTTTAAATAAAATTAATAATTTAATCATCTTCTTAATTTCAGTAAGACAATTAAAAGCATTATATAATAAAAATTTAAAAAACTCATTAATTTTTTAAAAATTGGCCCCCCTCAACTTTTGAAACTAGTCTACCATTGGTACCAAATGTGTGAAATTTCACTTTTGCTCTCACTTTCACTCTCACTTTTCTGGCCTATCAAGTGAGCCATTAGTTCAGGTATAGTGTCATTAATTAATCATGTATTTTCTCTAATTCTACTTATAAATTATTTCTATTAATCTTATCAATATCAATGTAATAAAAATACAAAAAATAAAGATTAATAAAATTTCAAACATAACCCTCAAAAACTAAATAAACTACATAATATTATTTTTTATTTCTATCTTTTTTACTTTTTAAGAATGGTTTAGACATTTTATTTAAAACAGAACTTCACTATTAATTTTATAATTTATAAAATAAATTACTTTATCTTTTTAAAAAATGATTAATAAAGTAGATTGGAGTGAATATCCGGGAGTTTATTTCTTTTGGGGCCAACACTGTTCTCGGGACTTGACAGTTTGCACATATCGAAATGGAGAAAACTCGATGTTACGTTTCGTCCATTGGGAGAATGACAATCTCAAAGGACCCTACCAGCTTGAGCCCATACCCAAGTGTTTTAGCCGAAGCATAAAACCATGAGACGCGAGCGAGCCGGTGGAAAATATTACACTGATATAACTTGAAAATCAATTCAGAAGCTTCTAGTTGCAGAAACTTCACGCACTTGGATAATATTCTTAAAATCTTCCCCAGATGATATAATATTCTTATAACCTTATACTGATACTTTTTAAAATAGGATATAAGAATCATTTTTATTTATTTTATTCAAATTTAGGTATGCATAATAATTGCAAAGATTAATTAATAATACACCCTGTTTTGGATGGTGGAAGTGGGACGATTTTTTTTCTGATATAACTGATCTGATTGATGCTCTTTCGTCGAGTGGATGATGAGCCTAACGCACTCTGAAGTTGCATCATCATTCTGTAAGTAAGCCCGCCACAGGCTTCATCAATCTATCGGTACTTTGGTTTTTTTTTTTTTCCCAAAAAAAAGATTTTTTTTTCCCAAAAAAAAGAACAAAGCAAATTTGTCTATTATCATTTATCAATATCAGGGACACCCACATAAAATTAGAGAACAAGCGAAACATTAATAATGCATCATAAACACTCCCCAACCTCGCCTTGTTTCTTTCAAGAAAATTATTGACCATAATTATCTACCTGAAGAATGAACATGGACGGGGTTATTAAGCCTTCAATAAAAATATATAAACTCAAATCGACATCCACATGAGGCGTAAGTTGGAACCCAGTTGAACCACCTTGAATGCATGAAAACGCATATCCATAACACAGTTTCAGACCATCCTGCGCCTGGAAATTGCATAGGTTCCCCTTCTTGCAGACCCAACAAGGAAAACATACAATGGTGTGCCTCTATTTCCCATCAGTAATAATCAGCTTAATGTAAAAAAATCTCATATCAAATAAAACTTTAACTTGAGATTTTGAACTAAGATACAGTATTAGCTCCTTTATAAATGCATTTTTTTTATGATAGGAAAATTGTGTGAAGTGAAAGAACCTATAAATTAAACTCAAATATTTGTTTGCCTAAATACCTAATTGAGTGTAATACATACCAGTTAGACATGACGACAACCCCAACAAAAAAAAAAACAAAAAATTTGCTTCAACATCAACAGTTTTATGCATTATTACGACTGTCGATGAAGATAAGTTTTGGACTGTATAATCCCAATTCTGATAGGCAAGCAAGGATCGTTTCATTTCACTTCACCAATTGAATTTTGATGTATTAATTATTAATCCATCTTTTTCAGAAGGAAGATGAGACACGGCAGGGAAAGTAGTGTTGGCGGTCCCCATTCCGTCGCTTTTGCTAGCAAAGGATGTTGCCGACGCAGTATGTGTGGCTTTCCACTGTTTCCCTATTGTCCTTCAAAGGCCAATCACAAATTTTAGAGAGCAGTGGATTGGTTTGCTTTAAATTAATTTGGAAGCTTTCAACTTATGGCCTGCTTCATCACCCGAAAGCCCATCCCAATTGCCCAGAAGCCGAAAGTGCCACAACAAACATTGGAAAAGGTAAAAATGCACTGCTACAATTTTCCATTATATTACGCCGTTGGAATTTCACTGTCACGTACATTCAATTAGATTGTTCTTGTTCCGTTAGTTTTTCTTTTTTTTGGAACTCCACAATCCAAATAAAATATCAATCAAGATTTTGATCTATCATCCTGAGATCGACATTTACGAGGATATTTCATATCAACAATTGCCGAATTAACCAAAGTAAATGAATGAAAGCTAAAATTCATTTTTCCAGAGCAATAGGATAAGGTTAAAACACACACACACACACACAAGGCTCTAAGGTTATCGAACCTGCTATGCAGCGAGATGCACCCAACGAGCTACGCTTGGCACGCCTTGGTTAACAGCAAATGCCATGTAGTAACCTGGCGGAGCAACGACTGCGTTAGGTGGCGCTGTACACACAATCTTGTACGTTCCGTCACCGTCCGGCACGGCGGATGTAACGGCTAGTTTGACCAGCCGTTGACCATGAGAAAAAGAATGCGTGGCAAATGGTGCGCTTCCCAGGTTTACTTCCACTATTCCCACCACGGGCAATGAAACCGATATAAGCACCTCGAACTTTCCACCGTAGCGTACCGTCTCCGGTATCCTCTGCATTGCGGGTCGGATATTTGCCCTATCTGCTGATAAATACTCCGGCGAAAACGCTTCAATCCGCAACTCCGTCGGGAATTCAGCATCCAATTTGTAGAAATAGTGTGGATTACTTCCTGCAAGCAACACCCTCCCATCTGGTAATAAGTTTGCTGTTGAGTGGTACAATCGGGGTATTGTACCTGGGTTGAGGGTCATGAATCGCAACCCGATGGGTTGGTCGGGTCGATATAAAAGCGGATATAAACACGGGTCTGAGGCCATCTCAAACCCCTGCGTCCCCGATTGCGCTCCGTTGATGATCAACACGTCGCCAGTGGGAAGCATCACCATGTCTCCCATGATCCGACCCATCGGCATATCCTCCATTTGCCAAACCGGATTTGGATCCGTGGCGACAATCCGGCCGCAGCTGCCGTGCGCTGGGGTATCGATGCTCTTTTGGAGAAACGCACCGTACTCGGCTCCGCCGCAGATGACAATTTCCGCCGTGGAGTAGTCCCCGCGAAGGGCCAGCATTGCCGACGATCCGGCCGACGGGTAGTTCCTTGGGCCTCCATCCAACGGCGGAAAATTTTTCAGAATTTTGTTGCTGTGATAATCGTATAACACGGATTTCGTGTTGGCGAAGATGAAGAGATGACCGTTGGGGAGGAGGTGCACATAAGGGTACAAGTTGTCCATCTGGGTGTCCTCTACGTCAGCAAGAAATGGGAACGAAACGGCGCCATTCCTCGGCGGGTAATATTCCACCGTGTGAGCTCCTCTCCCTCCGACGATAATTACTGAACCGTCCGGTAATATCTGGTTGGTGGCATACCACCTTCCTTCTGCTAATTCGACGTCGTTCAGCTCGACCCAGTCACACGACCCGTTCGGTTCGCACGGTTCGAACTTTCGTATCTTCTTTAACCCGTCCATATCCCCACCCGTTTGCAAGAGGGTACCATCAGGTAGGAACTGACCCGACGAGCACCAAGTATCAGTGAGTATCATGAGTGGTCGGATTTGGTTGGTTTGCAAGTCTAATTGAACAGAGTGAGCGTAGCAATCGCGTTTCAGAATGGGGTCGTTTTTGTCGAAGCGGCAGCGACCTTTGATGAGCATTTTTCTAGAAGGTCCGATGTTGGTCCGGTCGAGCAGGACGACGGTATTGAAGCGGGTGACGGCGGTGTGCATGGAGGCGATGCCGGCGTTGGGGACCAGCACCTCCCAAGTGCCGGGAAGCTGAGCACGAGCGTGTACAATTAAAGAAAGAAGAAAGAAGAAAAGCGATAAGGAATCCATGTGTGAGAGAGAGAGAGAGAGAGGGGTGAGGAAGTGAGGTGATTCAGACGAAGCTTCTATATAAGGAAAACGACGAGGTGTGGTGATTGAATGAGAAGATGAAGATCGAATCAATGTGGGCCGTTGGATGTGGACAGTTGAAGGGTAACGGACAGGAGACTAAGCAAACTGTAGTACAGGGAAGGGCAGAGGAAGATGGGTGACGTCAGAATGAGAAGAGGGAATAAAACGTGGAAGATTTGGACACATAGGATGCGAGTGGCATGTGATGCATACCACGTGGCAAGATGCTTTGTATGCATTCGGTTTAACTGGCAAGTAAAAATTGGACGTTTAATTTCCTTATTTAAAAAATTATTAATATAAAAAAATCAAATATCTTAAATTATTTGGAAAAAAATATTAAATTATATAAATTTATTTATTTAATTTTTTTTCATATTTTTAACTGGAAATCATTTTCTTGTAATTAATATAAAAAAATTAAACGAACACATCATCATCATCATCATCATCATTTTGATGAACCTCCTAATCCTTTAATTAGATCTGAACTTTAATGATTATATTATTCTTTTAGTTTTGATAGTCCTCCCGTTCTTATATATAAAACAAAAATTATATCATATAATTTAAAAAATTTGATTAATTATAATAATTATGTTTTAAAATAAAGAAATTAAACTAAAATGCCTTATATTAATTAATATAAACATGCATTAATTATTTCTCGTTAATGTAAATTATGAGGGACGATTTAAAAAATATGTAATAAATACTTATTGAAATATATAATTTTGCTTATATAAAAAATAAAAAAAAAGTGATAATTTCTCTTATAAATAAAAACAAAATAGTAACTAATAAGATTTTTCAATAATTCACGAGGAAGAAACCTTTCATTAATTACAATCTCATAATCACACACAAGGAATCCATTTGACTATGTTACAATAAATAAATGAGTTATTAAAAATTCTTGACCTTAAAATATTATGCAAAAAGTACCCTAAACTTTGAACTTTTAAAATATATAAAATGAATCCTAAACTTTTAAATTCATAACAAATTAGCCCACTGTTATCTTTTTGTTAATGCCGTTATTGTTCATTGTACTATTTATCATGAGGCCCAGTCAAATGCTGATGTGGCACTCTCTTACTAATGTCTCATTTATTAATTAGCGTTACAAACCCTAAACTATTGCACGAGTAGTCCTAAACCCTAAACTTTAAAATTTCAAACAAATTACCTCGACTATTTATATATAGGATGTTGACTATTATGTAAATTAAATTAGTCTCAGCATAGTTAGCCGTGATGAACGTATCATTAGCCACAATGAATGACACATAATTTTGCAAAATGACTTTTTTGCCCTTTTTATAATATTTTTCAAATGATTGGTATTCCATGCTTTCGCATACTCTATAACTTTTATTTAGTTTTATTTTGAATAATATTTATTTATTTAATGGTAAAAATTTGGTATTTCATTTAAAAAGAAGTTTAAGTATCAGATGATTTTACAAATGATGGATGCGAAAGCCAATGATTTTATCGATGAATTTAAAACTCAAATTAACCGGTTAATTAAAATCTTCTAATATTTAAACTCCTTTTCAATGAAATGTTAAGCTTTCACCATTAAATAAATAAATATGATTCAAAATAAGACTAAATTAGAGTTATAAAGTATATGAAATCATGAGATACCAATCATTTAAAAAATATTGCAAAAAAGAGGGGCAAAATTGTCACTTCACAAAATTATATGTCATTCACTGCAGCCAACATTGTGTTCATCGTAACAAACCACACTGAAATTAATTTGATTTACATAATAGTCAACGTTCTATGCATAAACAATGAGGATAATTTGCTCAAAATTTTAAAGTTTAGAATCCAATATGCTACTCACGCAATAGTTTAGGGTCTATAACATTAATTAATAAATGACACATCAACAAGGGACTGTCGTATCAACATTTGATTGGGTCCCACTGTAAACAGTATGGTGAACAGTAATGCATTAATAAAAAATAATGGTGGAGGTAATTTGCTATTAGTCGAAAAGTTTAGAATTTATTTTGTACATTTTAGGAGTCTAGGACTCAAGGCGCTTTTTCGCATAATACTTTAAAATTTAAAATGCTCATTAACTCTAAATAAATAAAGATACAATTAGACATGATATGGTTATCTATGGAGCCAATTAGTCGCCTAGGTATTGGGGCAAAAACCTACCGTGTTTCAATCTTTGATGCTTAGCTTCTGACTTCTTAATAGCAATATTCGTATGATTTAAATTGTAAAATATATTTGGGTGTTAAGATCTAGGAAAAATGATAATTAAATTTATTTGAATTATATAAATGATATTTTGAACCCTTGAAATATCATAATTTTTTTAAAGTTTTTAAAAACTTTTTTATCATTAAAGAATTAATATAAATGGTCAAATTGTTCTTAATTTAAACTCGTGAATTGCTTTTGAATTTTTATAATTTTAAGAAAAAAAGTTATAAATCATGTAACAAAATTAATGAATGATAATTGATATTTGTAACATTTGAGAAATGTTAAAATTTCAAATGCAAATTTATGAATTACTGTTGAATTCTTACGATTTTAATAAGAAAAGTTGTGAATCTTAAAATAAAACTTATGAACAAAAATTAATATTTAAATTTAAAATAATTTAATCATTTACATTAATTTTTTAATGACAGAAAATTCTCTAGAAATTTCAAAAGAATTATAACATTTTGAATGATCAAAATATCATATATAATTTAAAGGGATTTTATTATCATTTTTCCTAAAAACTACTAGAGCTTATGATTTCTTATTTTTTTATGGCTCATTTGAATTATGAATACCTATCTGTATCGTACCCCATTTTTACATCTTGCAAGCATGTTCTTTAAAATTGTAATCTGAACTTCTAAATATTTCAAAAATATTTTTATTCAGATGTAACAATAAATCTAAAACACTTTTATAATATTACAAATATCATAAATCATCAGGTTATAATTTAAAAGAAATGTAAACAATAGTTTCTTTTAACAACCATTGATTTTTTTAAAATTTTAAATTCCTAATTTTTTATTTGAGTTATAGGTTTTCAATTTGTTATGAAGCCTCTCTAATCTACCCCTAGTGTCCAAGTCTTTGATTTTTTTGACAAGGAAGATTTTATGCAACGCAAACTATCTTACCTTTGAAAGATATTATCAAATTATTTAAAGGCTCATTCTCGTTCTTCCCACTAATCCATTTCATTCCATGGAACAATACAGCTGCTGAGATACATACACTTGCTATATTATGATATTGTAATTCGATTTTATTAGACAACCACTTTACTTTTCTTCTAAAATACGACATCCAAATCAGACCGCACTAAATATAATATTCTCCTATAATTATCTTTGAGAAAACTTATTAAATGGATTATATTTTTAAGAAAAAGTAGGTCAGGTATCCTCAAGAAACTTATCGAATGAATTATACTTTGGGAGGATGACAATCACATATTTGTGAAGGTATTAATCATATTTGAAGACATTGAATTATTAACACTACGATAAAATACGTTATCGCGTAGCCCAAAAAGTGTACTGGTTAAGGCAAAACCTGTCAAAATACATTTTTTTTGAGTACTCCTATATGTTAGGCCTTTCAGAATGCTATAAAATAAAAAATATTTTAAAAAAATATTAAAACATTTAGGAATGCTCTTTTTAACCTTTTGGCTCCGGAGGGCTTATGCCTTTCAGAGCACTCATAGAATGAGCAATCCAAGAGGGTTATTGTAACATCAATTTAAGATTCAATTAAGTAAAGTAGAGAAGAGTAACTGAGTTAATTAATGTAACGTGTGACAAGAGAAGTTTAACAAGTATGTTTGGTTGTATTTTAATCATAAATTTAAATTTGAAGTGAAGTTGGGCTATCTAAACATTAAAAGGTGAGTAAATCTAAAAAGGTATGTCTCTGTGAACACAAAGAAAAAAATAAAGAAGGAGGGCTTCTTTGTGCCATACGCTATGGTGTACGGCTAAAATTTCTAATAAGACCACTCACAAATTGAGATAGAAATTAGAAGAGAAAGAAGGAAAAAAAACGAAGGAGCTCGTCCTTGCTCTGCTAAGGCTTGAAAATTCGAAGCATTAAAAGCATTTTAGATCTTTTAATCACTTGAGATAAGTTCCCTAAGCCCTAATCTCCCTTTTTCTTCCATTTTCTTAAAGATTTGAGTTAGGGTTTGAATAAGGAAAGTGATTTTAGATCCATTTGAGTTTTGGGTACAAACCTATTGATTTAAATAGAGTTAATAGAAGTTGTTTGAGGTATCTAAATCTAAGATCTATGAGTTTACAAGTTTTGGTAGTTGGGAGGACATTAATACATGTTTAATGTCGGCTTTACTAATTAATCTTACATTTTGTAGTCATCAAAATCTAATAAAATAATAAAGAAGTCAATCAAATCAAAAGAAAAGCTGTTGAAAATAAATTCATTGAAAGGATCTACCTTTATTACTAAGGTAGGGACAACCAACATAAAATCTATTCAGCTAAAATATCCTCATTAAATTATACTTGAAGTGATTATATGGACAACATTTAAAAATAAGATTCGTGAAATAAAATTTAAAAAGGAGATTTAAGGTGAAGTGATTAGTGGAAAAATTAGTGGTTGAAAATATTAATGAGATTTTGAACAGGAATTGCTACAAACCACACAAATTAGTTTATACATGAGATACTTCTTAAATTTTATTATTTGTTGTGGTATTTATTTAATATTAGTAGTGGCTATTTCTATTTTTTCATTTTAGGTACTTTTGTCATAATTTTGTGGTGCTAGGCTCAATGATGATAAAATTTTCATTTATTAGCCCTCACAACACAAATACCTATAGTGTTGATTATTATTCTAAAAAAAATTATCGATGCATTCAAGGCCAAAAGCAAGAGAAACATGTTATTTTTGTTTCTTCACAATTC